GTCCTTGAGCTTGTCGTCCAACCCATCTCCGATAATGAGTGCTTCGAAATGCTCAATCGTGTTGCTAATCCGTGGAGGATTCCTTGGCTTCCTCGGACCGGCCACGACATGCTTCGGCGTCGGAGATCGTGCAGGGCTGTCTGAGGATCGGACCTGATGTGATGTCGAATTCATGTTCGTTGCGTCGCCATTTGTTGACCCGCCTTGCTCCGTCTCGGCACCGCAACTTCTCTTATACATCGTACCGACCTCATTGGAGCGTGTTGGATTGGACAACCGAGTCGCGGCAGCTCCATGATGAACAGCCTCATCAGTAGATGTGGAACGTCGGTTGCTCGCAGTGAGATGCTCGCCACCGAAACGTCGCGAGGGTGTCATGGTCTCGAATACCGCGGCAGCAGCATGTGGGGTCTCCTGGCCTTCGTCAGGCGCCTCCTCTTCATTTGGGCTGAGGCGCTCATGAGTCTGTATCTGTTTTCCTTTGCTACTAATAAGCGTGGGAGCAGGGTTGGAGGGGCCGGGTGTAACAACAGAGGTCCAATCGTCGTCCAATCGAGCCTCTTGCATACACCTCTGCACACAATCTGACAGGGTGTGAGGCTGCGTACCAGTCTGCACGTGCGGAAGCAAAGGACATGTCGAAGACAATGGCAGATACCCAGCCAGTCGTTCAGACACGTTTGGCATCGTCGGGCGCGACAAAACGGCCGTCTGGCTCTGGGCCATGCATGGTGATGGAGACTTGAGGCGCAGCGTCTGCCATGTTGGTAGCCGAGGCGCCTGCTTGAATGGACGGCTAGATGCGTGATGAGCATTGACACGTGCATCTATTTGGCCAGCCTTGTTGTCAGCGTCCTTTTCAGATCCAGCAGCTCAGATATGCATGGAGCACGGGCCTGTAGAGTAGTTACGTGACATACTGAGCTTGGCATCTCCGAGATTTACTTCAAACAGCTTCCTACGTTCGGCTACAAGTGAAACACCGACTTCTTCTGTCACGCATTCGTCCTCTCTGGGGAATTCTCCTGACGCTGGAAAGTTTCCAAGTTGATCGCTTGTCGTATTTCGGTGCACTGATTGGGCCGATGCAGACGATATACTCGATGGCGGTCTATTGAGCTCCAATGTAGATTCATTTCCACCGGGCAGATTGGTTCTCTTGGTCAGACGCAGTTTGCTTTGGCGCGATGAACTATCCAGAATCTCAAATTTGGATACCAACTGAGACAGTCTCCTGCCATGTTCCGATAAGCGCTTCTGTCGCGGGATCGTTGCCATTCCATGTTTCGGCGAGGAAGCAAGGTTTGCTATGGGCTGGCTGGTGGTTAGCAACGGGCGAATCGGCATTGTTTCCAATCAGATCCTTCATATTTCGATTCAATGCGCTTTGGTGTGAGATGTATAAATCAAATGACGTTTGCGACGCTCGATTCTAGTGTTTCTCAACGAGCTGTCTCAGCTTATTTATCGTCGGCGACGGGAACGCCTGCCGTATGCAATGCGCCTCCGTCCGCCGTGCTCGCGAGGAAGGTGACGTGGGCGATGCAGTTGCTCAAGGTAATCAAATCCAGTCACACTCTTTCTTCATCAGTCTTTCTCGTCCAGCCTCCAGCCTCCATCATCCATCATCCATCATCCATCACATCTTTCATGCAGACATCGAAAATCGGACGCATGCTCGTAGGAAACTCGGTACTCAAAATTCGGCACACATGATGAGCGTCCATTGTACAATCAATCTGAGAAGAGGTATTCATTGATTCGAGCCGCGCTTTGGTTCATCCTTTAATACCCAATGCAAACCATCTTCATGGCTCCTTAGGCTTCCTTTTCCGTTCCGTGATTCGTCTTTCCCATCCGGGTGTGCCAGCAATCTAGCGTACAGTTCATTCCATCTATATTACAGGTGTATGTGGCATCGGTGATCGGCGGTCCTTTTCCATCGGCGCATTACGGATATTGTTTTTCGATTTTCGCACGCCATCCAATGTTGTCATCAGTTACTGGCTGAAGAAGAGACAATTAGCATGGACTGGGGTTCCCAATATGGCAGAGGAGGGGATCGGGGCGCGATCGCATACGGAGGCAGTAGCAGCTCGCCCCAGGAGCTAGCAAGAAACGTAACAGCGGCCTAGGTATAGGTTGAGATAGTCAGCAAACATTCGTGTAGCGTTCAAATGATGCGTCGGATGCGAAACTCACGCCAAACGCGGCAATGCTTAGCACCACGGCTGAATTGTCGGGAGAGGTCAAGGTGTTGTAGGTGGAAGCGAGGTAGCCCTTGGGAGCGCGTCGGGACTTTTCGCCATGAATTCTCTTGGGAGGCATGTTGGGAGTGTGTGAGGGCTGTTGAACGGATCGGCGATGCTATCGTGACGGAGACGGAACTGGAGATAGTTGGACCTGCAGTGACGACGTCTCCAAGCACTCGAAAATTTCCCGCCCAGCCTTGTCGCCGATGACTACCCCCAACAAAGAAGCTGGGTTTGAGCCGGCCCACCTGCCATCACATGATTGGCCAAGGTTGAGCCTCAACTTTGTAACTTGTGACATGTCACATGTATGATGTCCTCCTTGCTTAGAACCTTGGGGGTGTATCATGGGGTCCTGGATTTCATGGTTCTGCTTATGTTGATACCTATGTCATCGGAAATGGGATCTGATATCTCACGATACATACCTGATCGTGATAAAATTCACTGTAGCACCTGTGCGAGATAATCGGGCACTGAATTTAATTTGCTGGTGTTCCCCCACTGAAAGCAACACATGTGCAGTTATTCCATCAATAAAACCTAGAGTTCACAGAAGCGATTTCATCAACACAGAGTCCATCCGTATCAAGCTATCACGCAGAAAGTCATCAAGATTTACACAAGAGCTTCATCTCTATCACAGCATTATTTTGTTCAGTATGGGCCAGGAACCAGCCGGATTCTTACCGCAAACCGAGCTCGCCTCTTTCGGCACCTCCTTCGTTCACAGTCGCGCAATAAGCACACTTCCCCATCCTCGCGAACATCCCCTCAAGCCTGGTTCCAACAAAGAAGACTCCGTCCGGCGATGGGCTGAAGAAACTCTCCTCAACACTTCTCGTCGATACATCCAAAGAAACAGCGGTACCGACTCTGCCAATGCGTTCAAGTCCATGGCAGAGGTGTGCATGGCACTAGAGTCTATCATCGACATTCACTGGAAATCTGGAACACGTACGTGGTGTAGATGATCAAAATCCTACACTCCACGGTGTACCAGTCGTGCTCACAGTGGTGTAGCCAGTTTGCAGATACCATTGCTGTTGAGAATAGCCAGCGACTTCACCAGCTACGTCTCCTCGTTCCCGCCCTGCCCAGGCGCAACCTTCGACCTTCTCCGCAAGCTAGACCATTGTTTCGCCAGTCTATTGTGCGGCCTGGACATTGACTCCAGAGAAGCGTTGCCCGGGTTCGAGAACGGCTTGACAGTAGATATGATGACTACCGATATGGTTCGATGCAGGGGCCTAGTGGAACGGACTCGGATCCTGATGGTTGAGATTTTGAGCAATACTGATGAGGACGACGACGACGAAGAAGAGGAGAGTGAGGAGGATTACTGTTGGTAACGTCAGGTACCGCGGTATAAAAGTCAAATGATAACAAATGTCAATGACATGGAATACGGAACCAAAGGTTTTTGCCGTGGTTGCTTTGTATTCGTCTTATTCATTGATTGATTGGTTTGTGTATATCTACAAAGGAGAAAGGGCCGCCTCGTGGCGTTGAGGCCACGCAGAGACTTCCTGCTCTGGTGGGTGCGGCAGCCAACAGCGTTGTCAGGCTGCACACCCAACAGAAATAAAGGAGAAGACAGAGAGCGGAGAACGTAGGCCAGACACCCGCAGGAGCTGTGCTACACAATAAACAGAGGTCTGAGTAGTAGACCGAAAAGACGATAGATCCCGCAGGACAAGAGTAGGACTCAACCAGAAAAGAATGAAGAGCGTCCCAAGACTTCATTGACTATCTAAAAATGATTGTGGGAATCACCCAGTTTATACCAAGCAATACCCTTCATCCCCCAACCAACAAGAGTGAATGATGATTGGCTGACGAGGTAAGCGGGAAAATCCGAACTCGCTCGCAAGGGTGCAAGGCCGAGACAATCGAATAGCTCATCTCCGAAGTCGGCCCGTTTTCTCCAACCACGTGACATGAGGAGCGATTCCAACAACTCACAGTCTAAGACTGACAATAGGTACTCACTCTGGCGATCACGCAGCCGGCCCTAATGCCCCCACACAGAGAACGACTCGGGATCAGCTGCTCGGTTGTCGAGCGAGTTCGTATTTTCTCGCTTACCTCGTCAGCCAATCATCATTCACCCTTGTTGGTTGTTGGATGAAGAGTTTTACCTGATATGAGCTGGGTGATTCCCACGGTCATTTTTAGATAGTCAATGAAGTCTTGGACGCGCTTCATTCTTTCTGGTCGAGTCCTGCAGGCTGCTTTTGTCCTGTGAGGACTGTCATCTTTTCGGTCTACATCTCGGACCCTTTTCTGTTGCGTAGCACAGCTCCCACGAGGATCTACCCTACGCTCTACGTCCTCACTTCTCATCTTATTTTCTCACACCTGTGTGCATCTCTGTAGTACCTAGTCCGGAGGAGGTAGGCACATGCATGACTTTCAAACATGCCTCGCACAATGGAACGAACATGATGAGAACTTAAAAGAACACTAAACATTCGATACAGAATGAACAGTGGATATTGTTGAACAAATTGGGGGGCAAAATGGAACTTTCATTTTGATAAAGAGCTAAGTTTCCCAAGTTGTGGGAACATGGGAATATTGTGTACATAGGGTGCTGGTGCGGCCGTCACGTGATGTGGCTGCCAGCACATGGCTTATTCCTCAATAGATGTCAAGAAAATCTACGGGGATTTCTCGAAAGGGCAAAAAAGTAGAACGATCCTGCGCAGTAGGGATATTAGGCCATGAACGGGGATGGTCAAAAAACGACAAAGACAGGATTTGAACCTGCGCGTCCGAAGACATGGCATTACCGAAATTCGAGTGCCACCCATTAACCACTCTGGCACTTTGCCTTGTTTGACTTGTTGTGGTTACCCTACCTCTCTATGACATTATGAAGGATATGTCGCACAACAAATGCAACTTCAACTTTGTGTTGCTGTAGACTACAAGCTCGCGCTGCAACGGTTGAAAATTCATCGTGGGAGCGTTGCGAGTCCGCGTCTCTCGCCAACTCTCTGCGCAACCCCAAATTGTTCCCCTGGCTGTTGGACTGGGCTGAGATTGCTACGTTAGCCGATAACAGCGGCTGTGGCCCGGCTAAAGCCCTGACATACTTTCTTCCACTGGCTGGTCTTCTCGTGGTTTACATCTTTACTGAATTCCAGTGACGTCTTTCTCCTCTTTGGTTCAGGCCTTTAGGGTTGAGAACCTTGATCGGCTTGCGCCTTTTTTGCGCGTCGAACGTCACGAAATTCTGCGAAGATTGCCGCCCATTTTTTTGTCCTTCGTCTTGTCATTGTTTTCTCTGGCTACTCGATGCTATCTGGCACGACGAACGCGGTCCGCTCTGCACCCGCTCCGATTCCGCAACGATGTGCCGTCAAAACTTTTACAATCACCCAGCAAAGCAATTGGCTCGTAAATAATAAACGGCGTTAAACGTCTCAATGTTGGTGTGATTGCGAAGCATGTATGCCATGCTTGCATCTTGTTACGAGCCGAGATGGCAAACAGTGTGGTGAGGAGTCATGATGTTTTCTAGACCTTCTCATAGTGATAGAGAATTTTTGGAAAACTAACTTGGGAAGCCTTTAATTCCTAAATATCTTCATGTTCGGAAGATCTATGTGTGCTAATTCCTTTGCATATGGCTTGCTGTCGACAGGATGTTGTAAACCCGACACCTACCGAAGACTTTCGCGTCGTTTGGAAGAGACACCAGAGTCTAGCATTGTCTCTCTTTTGTTCTTATTCCTTCAGCTCCGCGTGTCTTGAAAAGGAACGATAGTTGTCCATGCTTTTCTTGGCGTTTCCCGACTGCTCAGAACTCGGTGAACTAGCCACTTCAAGAATAAGAGAACCGAACCGCTTCGTAGTACCCTCAGAACAGATTGAACACAACGATGCATAACTATGAGGACTACATATACGATTAGGACGAGAATACTCGATAAGCCGTACGTTGACTTGACTCTCGAAGCAGCTAATCGCATATATTTGTTGTCGTATTACTGCATAGTTGCGTTCAATGGTTTCGAGGATACTTGGAGTCGTGCGATGTCTTGATTCTTGAAGCAACTAACTCAGCTGACACGATGATCGAGATTCTGAACAGTTGGTTTGACGCAAAATATATGGATAACTATGCTTTCTCATGGGGACCTGCGGAGCTGAAGGAACTGGAGAAGATGAAAGACAAGCAATGTTGAAGTCTGATGATATCTGCCGACGACGTGAAAGTCTTTGAAGGATGGCGGGCCTACGCAGTCAAAAATCCAATTTTCGGCAAGCCATATGTAGAGGCACGTTGGTCCGTGCAAGGTAATCAGCAGAGGACAGTATCCTCTACGGATTTACGTGGAGTAAGGCTTCGTTGATTAACGCCGATTTTCCCTGCACCTACAAGGCAGGACGGCAACTGTCAAGTGGCAGAGAATCCGGATATATTTCCTCCTCTTGTACTCACTCCTCCTATTCTCAGGCTTGTGTTGCGGTAGTCTGGAAACTATGTCAGCTTCGCCGTTGCTCTTGCTTGGTCGGTACCTACGAAGTTGTAGCTACCTAACAACTCCTATTCATCGTCGACTGTTTCAAGAGAGAGCTAAAATGCCTGGAGAGGGCCCAACACCGAACTGAAGCATTCTCAGACAATCACAACCTATAACATTTTACGAACGTGAGACACTTCGATCCTTGACAGGCGCGCTGGTCTCGGGACTTGGGAAGCTACAGCTTCGTTATCACATTTCGATGAGGCAAAAACAACGAAAAAGCTGACATGCCTCCTGGACTACGCAACACGAGCCTGAGAAGGGGGAGAGTGAGTACCGGCCGGCGGCCAGTGTCGACAGTCCTGAACCCATCACTCACATTTCTCCTCCTCTGTCTTATCATTCTTGCTCACACCCACTCGCCTCTGCATCTTTTCGACTCGCAGATGGAACGCAGACTTCATCAGAACATTCAAGGAGGTCGGAATGGTTGACGAGGCACACAGAGCCGAACTCGACGACGAAGACAGGGGAGAGAATTTTATTTTGGGAGAAGGTTCAAGGACTTCTGTAGCGAAAGACCAGACTATGGGTACCAATCTCGCTACAGATGGATGTTTTAGCTTCGGAATCACGATACCAAGGTTGCCGGGCACATGGAAATGGACAAAACCGTCCAACGCGGAACTCATCACTTGCAAGTCCTGGGGGCCGAATCTCGGAGCTATCGTTCAGGATTACGTGAGGGGCTATCTGAAATGCCAACGCAACAAAAATCCCAGTCAGGCTTACCTCGGGCTTTTGCAACCTATGGATTAATGTGATTACCATTACCTCGTCGAAGGTCCTTGCTCCTGATCTGCTGAAGATTATAGGTATCGCATAAGCTCTTTCTTGTCAGGTGCCGTACATTCTATCTGCGCGAGACCACCGAGACTTCGAAGTCCAATCTTGTCATGTACTCAGTGTGTGTCTATGGAGTAACCAGTAAACTCCTGTATACTAAAGGTACATCAAAGCTGTGCCATGTTGGCTCGCCTTGACCACATGTCTGCTCGATACATGGTATGGCGGTGAAGGAGCCTCGTAGCTAGGGATAGGCACGGCTGGTGTGCACTGTGTTGGCAATGAGTGATTAAAAAGAGCACAATGAGGACATGGAAGTCACGACAAATCAACGAAAGAGGCAGCCTTGCAAATGATAGGCATAGATGATTGAGAGGACAGTAGTTGCCTAGTCGTGTAGATCATGAAGTTGCGCTCAACATGCTGTCCAACCCATTACCGTTCCGTCATGTACATAGATCTCCACGGCTCTCTGGCTTCGCCTATCGCAATGAGTAGATCGACGTGACGAAGTCTCTCGAGTTTCTTCGCTGTCAACGGACATGTGGACTACCGAGTCGTCCACGCCTAAACAGCAGCGTCCTCGAGGACCCAGTCTGAGGTGTTTGCTACCACCCTGTGTCATCCATCGCTGTCCGTCTTGCGCATTTTTATCGTAGCATAGCACGGCTGGCGGTAGTGTCAATTCCTTATTCGTTCTCTTGCCTTTTGATGCTGATGAGAACGAAGCTGTCATACATTAGCCGACGCAACAGCGCCAGCTTGTGCCCACTGCCAACATTCAGTGGAGGGTAGACCAGGGGGCCAAGGTCATGCAAGCCAGCTCCGCCAGATGTAGTTGCTTCAGAAACATTATCGACGAAAACAAAATCGAAAAAATCGTAACGCAGATTTGTTCCGGCGTTAAAAAAAATGTGGTCAGCCTGCTGATGGCAGCGACGAGACCACGAAAAAAATTAGCTCGACGGAGACAAGATTCGAACTTGCGCGGGCGAACCCAAATGATTTCTAATCAGTCTCCTTAACCACTCGGACACTCCGCCTTATTGAGCTGACCTGGATGCAGGTAAAAGTTCATATGAATTTATGACAAATGGGCATCCAGATCCTGAAAGGGGAACACGCACCCTAAACTTCAGCATTTGACGTGAAGAAACTGGTGAACGATGCGTAAATCAGAGTGCCTTACTCCGTATACATTGCTCTTATAAAACTTTGATTTTGTCCTCAATGTTGATGCCGAACCTGTGCGCTCAGGTATCAAAGCGTGGAGTAAAAGTTCAAGTTGTGTGTTGATCGAGTGTACGAAGTAGTCTGTCGCATTGATCAACACATACATACATGCAATGCAAAGGGGCAGACATCATTACGTCCATCACAAATCACATGCCGCATGTAATCACGATTCACATGTACAGCAACCTTATTATCTTGATCAATGAGTACAGTGTACAGTGATACACACAAACTTCCAGGCTTCAAGGGTCAAAAATCCGTCAGCCAGTCAGGCAACACAGGCACGCAGAATGCACTCTTCGGAGAAATGCAGCCAAAAAACTTGGAGCGCGCAATTGTTCAGCCCCTCAGTCCATGAATATGTGTCCGTCCACTATTTTCCATACCTTCAATGCTAGGTCACTGTTTTTACTTGGAATTAAAGTACATATGTGCATAACTACCTACATACTTAGTTATTCCAAGCGTACGGAGTAAGGTTGTAAAAATCATTCTTATGAACAGGGGTGGAGGTAATCTCTCGAAGCTAAGAGATTGCGCGGGAGTGAAACTGTAGTGTATTGCTACACGAGGACTTCAATGCAATGGGATCGTATCCGTGATCTACAACTGATTGCTTGGGAGAGGAGAACAACTGTCCAAGTACCAGAGAATTTTTCTCCCTATGTGGCGTGCACGGTCCCGATCCGGGGTGTCTCACGTGACACGTGCCCTGTACGTACTAACTACATGATACATGTCTGCACTGACCACCATATTCTCAATACTCCCCCCCCTCAGGGCACATGGCAGTTCGTCAGACCCTCACTTTCCCTTGAAATCCTCAGCAAGGCCCATTTGCCTTTTGAACCTGTTGGAATCGCAGGACAGCAATGTACAGCGCACTGCACGTTGATTGGTGTGCGTGCCTCGTCTGTGGGGACATAGGT